CCCTTGGGTAGACCCCTTGGGTGCATTGTACTATATAGCACTACCTATCTCAAAAATTTATCTCCTGGGTAGACCCCTTGAGTTTTTTTGAGATAGTTGGAACCTGAATGTCATCCTTGCCTTCCTGTTAAGTCAAAAAAAAAAATATATTGTCCAGTATGAGTTTTTATTTTGATTTCAATTTATACTTAATTGAACCAAAAAATTAAAATCCAGATGAACAATCATTTCGGGACGGAGAGAGTATTTACAAAGGAATTTTAACCTTTAGGTATTGAGATCATGGCAAGATGAATGGTTCAGATTCTGATAATGCTAGAGACAACTATTTTGATTTGTAATTGCCAATCAATAATGATTATTTAAGTAATGAGTAAACAGATTGTTGTTATCATAATTTATTTCATGTCTTGGTTTGTCCCCATTATGAATATTCTTAGGGGTACATAACCGACGCCTTAGGAATTAGTTGTCGTTAATCTTACATCCAAATATGCTCTTATAAACTTTTTGGAAGATAAATTCAACTGATACCTTGTGGTTCCATTTGCAGGGCTTAGAGAAATCACAAGAGTATAAAACATGTTGTATCAAAATGGACAATTGACACCCGTAAATTATAGACGCAAATGGATTTGGAAAGCGAATCTTACTCATACATGTGACAGATTTGGGCACTTAAGTGGTATTGATTTTTGGATTTTAGCAAATATGACAATATGGATTTGCTTCTCTCTTTTTTTAAGCTTAATTGGTGTTTTCACTGATCAAGTCTACTTCAGATTTTGCCATTGGTACATTTAGTATGTACTCTCATGATTTAGATGATTCCACAAAATAATTTTTTTTTTATTGTATGATCTTGCAGGGTGTACAATTCAATGGATCAGTTAGGATGTGTGTTTCCACTAACTTTCATAAACAGTTAAAAGAATGGTTGTCAGCCTTAATCCAAAGGGGACACCCATCTTCTGCAATCAAATTATTTAAACTTGATTCAAATCAACTTGCTACGATAGTGAAAGAGCATTAACAAATTTGTATGTATCTTTTAAATTTTATGCCTCAAAAAGACAATTGTTGACACAAGTAAATTTGCATTTGTGTTTGATCTTCATCAGTTGTATCCTACCCATCTTCAAGATTTGAGTTGCATATCTTTCGATATTCTCTTGCGCGGGAATGGATTTTGAGCAGGTCTGCGGGTTTTGTACATCGGCGGGGTGCATGTAGAGATGGGATCTTGTTATCATTTAAATTGTATTGGTATTGGTCATCTTGGCCAAACTCCCACTAGAATATTTAGTGGTCAATTTAGTTCAAACACATTTTCGTTTTTTCTTCTAAAACTTTTGCATGAAATGGGTAAAATAATTTACCGCGCATAGCGCTGTACAAAAATTAGCTAGTTTTCAATAAAAGCACAGTATCTAAGATTTATAATTTGGGACGGTTCTTTCTCCATGATTTCATTTTACTTTGTCCATTTCTCTAAAACCAATTTTTTGCATCTGAATTTTCATCTTTTTCTCATACCTTGCATTACGATCTTGGTGTGATTTTTGTAAGATCTCGACAAGTTTTTGATTTGCTTCATTTAAATGTTGCAACTTGGAAGAAGATTGCTCCTCCATTTTTCTCTTACTTTTGACTTTTTTGATACCAATAGATCTTTTAGACGAAGATCCGCCTATATCACTATCTCCCAAGTCAGAAAAATCAGAAGAATTAGGTATTTGAGATTCATGTACCTGAGATTCGGAAGTTAAATTATCAAATTCATCTGAAATGTGCCCATTGAATTTGTGCCTTATTGTAGTGGCATCAACATAATATTTGTTAAAATCTTTAAGAATATTCCACACATGATCGAATTTAAACCATGCTTTAAACTCTTTGTCCAACATGAATAAATCGTTTGCACGTTCTAACTACAAACAATATAAATAAGATCACTAAATTCATTGCCAAAGTACATAAACACATAAAATTATTGATTACTTACATAATTATTTTCATTTGCACCGTTTGGATGCATGTCTTCCACTTGTTTATAGCATCCACGCAATTTTGAACAATTGGATGCTACAAAAAAGATGATCGTTTTTTCAAAGACTATTAGTATTTACAAAAATTATGTACAAAAATTGGCTAGTGCTCTTCAATAGAATGAAATTTTGTAACGGGTCTCTTTTATAGAATGTTAAGTACTCATTTCCTTTCCCCTGTTTTCAGTCTAGTGAAAGGTAGGGGTAGAGTAATTGACGTGGATTGGCTTCTTGATTTTGGGGAACGAAAAATGCCCATCATGATCATTTGACATTATAAATGCCATAGTCCAACTGGAGGAGTTTTTGAGTTAAAAAATGGTTCAAAAAAAGGAGTAGAGATAAATATAGGTCGAATTTTGGGGAAGAGCAAAATACTGATATCGGATTCCTAAAATCCGATTTTTCAGCTAAATCGGATTCTCCAAATCCGACCTACACTTAATACGAAAAATTAATGAAATTAATCAAGATTAAGAGAAGATCGGATTTTTAAAATCCGACCCTATTATATTAAAATAATATATTTTCAGAAAAACACTTAGTTTCTTTTTTGAAATAAAATTTTGACCAAAGTCGGATTTTTAAAATCCGATTTTACCATAAGGCCGGATTTCAGAAATCCGGGTAAGTTTAAATCGGATTTTGAGAATCCGTGTAAGTTAAGTTCGGATTCTCAAAATCCGATTTCTTCGTAAAACAAGTAGAAGGTCGGATTTCTCAAATCCGACCTTGGACAGACACTTTGAAAAAAATAAAAGATTGGTTTCTAAACCAATCCCAATCTATCAAAACAGCACCAAAACCAAATTTCACGAATAAAATTACCTATAAACACATTCTAAACACATCAAAACAAACATTAACAAATTCAAATCCCAAATCATCCAAATTACAACATTTATACATGAAAGAGTTATAAATTAAAGAGTCCTACAATTGAATTACTTTGACGACCTTTTCTTCCTTATAGCCCCATCGCCGGGAGTATACTTCTTGGCCGGTTTTAAATCAAATAGAAAAGGCACAAATTAGGAAAACAAACAAAAATATAATAAAAAAATATAAATAAACAAAGAAACATAAAAATTCACCTGCATCAGCATATAACATCCGGTAATGTCTTTTTTCCCGGGCGTGGAAGCTTGACACAGAGCAAAGTACAACTTAGCTAACACAGCTGACCCCCAACTGTAGGTAGCATAGACATCCAAATCCTCGAGTATTGTCAGGATCCAAAGTGGTATTCTGTTTCCCGTATTGTCAGGAATCAAGAAACCTCCAATCAGTAGTAACAGTAATGCACGGGCCCTCTGTGTATAGGCCTCTCTTGGGGCATTTTTTGGGATCGGACGCAAACACTCGTTGATTAAACACTCTGCATAAATCTTATTCCCATCAAACATGTCACTAACGGGTGTAATTCCCAACAATCTAAAGCACATCGCCATCCACTGTGCCATAAAATTCTCAGGTGTCATCCCCTCCACAGGCTTACCATCCACTTTCAAACCTAATAACACCTCAACGTCTTCTAGAGTGATAGTGGCCTCACCAAAATGAAAATGAAATGTATGAGTTTCAGGCCTCCACCTCTCAACCATTGCGGTGATCAAACAATTGTCCGCTTGTATATAACCTAGTTGGATCACCCCCCCAAAGCCTGCCCGCTTTATCTCATCTATGACTTGTGGAGGGCAATGCCGGGATGGTTTCTCTATACAAGTCCAAAAATGACTATCAAATCTCCTACCTTTAAGGGCTTTACTAAAAGCCTCATGGTTCTCGAAAATGGCTTTCGCCCTATGATGGTCATATAGGTATAATAATGAGTCATCTATTGGAGCCGGATTAAAATGTTGCAGTGTAGGTTGCGAGGAACTCGAACCCTCCATTTTTTAATCCTATAATACCAAATACTATCAATACCAATACCAATACCAATACCAAATACACAGACATTCACACAGTCACGGCAACACACACACACACACAGTGCCAACACACACATACACACACAGTCACACACACACATTCATACAGTGCCGGCACACACAGAGTGCCGGCAACACACACACACACATAGAGTGCCGGCAACACACACACACACACACACAGTCACACACACACATTCATACAGTGCCGGCACTCATACACACACACACAGAGTGCCGGCACACACAGAGTGCCGGCAACACACACACACACACACATTCACACAGTCACACACACACATTCACACAGTCACGGCAACACACACACACACCCTGAGTGCCGGCAACGCACACACACACATTGCCGGCAACACACACACACACACAGAATGAAAATGAAAAAAATGGACAAATTACCTGAATGTGCGTATCGCCGGGGAGGGGAATCGCCAGGGAGGGGAATCGCTTGGTTTGGGGGAATCCGACCTTGAGTAAACCGGGGAGAAGAAGGGGGAATCCGACCTTGAGGGATTAGGGTTGGAGAAGAAGGGGGAGTCGATTTTGACTCCCCCAAATTTTGGTCAACCGGTTATATACTCGTCAAAACTCGGATTCTGCAAATCCGATTTATTCATTGAGGAACAAGGTCAGATTTTATAAATCCGACCTTGAACAGAGAGTTGCGAAGTTGGTTGCAAATTTTCACCAAAATCCGACCTTCGGAGTGAACAGTGCACAAATCGGATTCAGGAAATCCGACCTTGGACAGAGAGTTGCGAAGTTGGTTGCAAATTTTCACCAAAATCCGACCTTCGGTGTGAACAGTGCAAAAATCGGATTCATAAAATCCGGCTTTATGCCTAGATCGGATTTACAAAATCCGATTTTCCTTGAAACTCGGATTCAGAAAATCCGGCTTTATGCCTAAATGGGAGCCACAGAATTCGGATACACAAGTACTAATATCAAACACAATAACAATATATTAAATAAACTAATTCATTAAGCATACAATACAATTCAAAAGAACTACAACATAAACTCCAAATCGAACAAACTAAAGCATAAATATCAAAAGTTTCGAGACATGAAACATTGTTTTGCCACATAAACAACAATTCAACCAAACAATCCTAGTCGTTGTGAATACCATCGGCGTCCCAATTGATCTTGAGCCTTGTCCTATCGGATTTCTTGTGTGATTTTGGGCACGCATTGGTGAAATGATTCCTTGAGCCACATCTCAAACATTCACCCCTCGATTTGCGTCCCCTATAATCCATTTGTATTTTAAATCTCTTCTTTTGCCAACGACCGGGTCCAGCATGCATAATAACTCGCTCGTAGTTAGGAACGAGTCTCCATCCAACCTTAGGCCATCTTCTCATATCAGGGACCGGGGAAAAGTCATCGCGCCCACTGAATTGGTCTTGCCAAGCAACAACCCTGAAATATGGATTCACCGTATTGATTGGTTGATCTTTTATCTTCCGACACACAGCTTGTGCATGTGTACAAGGGAACCTATACTCTTGCCACTTCTTGCAAGAACACTTCTTCTCTTCATATTTCACAGTGTACGTGTTGTCCCCTTTACCACCAAGTCGGGCTCTACTTTTCACCTTGAACTTGCCATTAATAGCACCATAACGGTTGACTTTTTGTTGCGCGGCTTTCTTTTCTTTTTTCTTGAAGTCTTCCCACAAGTCAGTTGGGACCGGAGTAATACATTTCCTCGACTTCACGTATTCTTCCTGGAACAAATCCACAGTCTTAATAAAAGTGGCTTCCACCAAAGCTCGGATTGGCAAGAAACGAACGCCCTTGAGGACGTTGTTGTAGCTCTCAGAAATGTTCGTTCTCTGGTTACCCCAACGATAGTGTTTGTCTTTGGCAAGAGACCACTGACAAGCATCAATCTCCTCGAGATACAAATAAGCATCATTGCTAAAATCACGTAGCTCATTCCTTAGTTCTTTGAATTTAGACTTAGAAAGTTTCGTGCCCATCTCCCAACACAACCTTTTGATCTTTTTACTTCGAAACTGCGCCACCAAGTCACTACGGACGTGACGAAGGCAAAACCGGTGGTATGCATTCCATTCGGGCATTAGGCGTATTGCACTGATGATACCCTTGTGCCGATCGGATATAACACACACAGGCCGGTCGGATATAACATGATTCCTCAAATGCTTCAAGAAGAATGACCAACTTTCCTCACTCTCTTCATCCACGATCGCATATGCAATTGGCAGGATGCGTTTATTCGCAGTTTTGACCATTGCAGCAAGTAATTTACCTTTGTATCCGCCGCGCAAGTGCGTCCCGTCGATACTAATCACTGGAGGACATTTAGCAAAACAATCAATTGCAGGCTTGAATGCCCAAAAAATGTATTTGAACGTCCTCTCTATATCGGTCCAACCGGTTGCCATTCCCGCTCTACAATCGTGCCGGGTTGCTCTTCTCTAGGGCGGCGAAAAATCTAAATTAAAATAAAAAAAATTAATCCTTATTTTATTCCTAAATTACAAACAAATCAAAAAAATTAGATAGGACTTAAGTAAATACCTTGGAAGTATGTCAAAATTGGAAACCCAGTCGCCGTAAACAAAATCGATAGCTTTTCTCCTTCCCTCCCATGCCCTGTGGTAAGGAACATCGACATGCATACGGTCTTTCACTTCTTCCTGAAGGAGCTTCACTTCATAATCTGGGTCCAACTCAACCTTATGCCTTATGAGATGCGCAATAAGCGTTGCGCTCACATTCCGATTATTGTTTTCCTCGGTGACATTCATACAATTGTGCTCGGGCACCCATTTCACAATCTCCCACAAACCGTGGTCTCTCAAGGAGGCACGTACCTTCCAACGGCAAGAAACATAACCCTTAGGGGTTGACTCTTTTAGGGATTTGCACCAAATATACCATGTTGAACCATCACTTTCCTTCACATTAATCTCTTTTGCTCTATGTTCCACGCTGCAATACCATTTTTTGCTTTTTCCTTATTCTTGAAACAAGTCCCTATCCCAATTCTTGCGGTTGTCCCGTCCCACATGGTAAGTTAAAAATCATCCTTGTCCACTTTTGTATGATCCATGTACCCTGTGAACGATATATGTGCCTATCCTTTATGGCGAATTTGTCTTCGACCTCTTCATCACTCTCCCGACTTCCTTCGGATATTGATTGGTTTTCATCGCTTTGATCACTTATCGATGTGTAGTCCTCATCATCTTCACCGTGATTATTTTCCATGTGATCGCCATCCTCCATAAACGGTCCACCCACATCATCATCTTCCATATAATCGACATTCTCCACATTCGGCCTACCACTAGTTGTCCCTACTTCCAAATGGGACCTAGAAGTACCCGCCACCTCCAAATCTACATACAAATCAATATATGTCGAACTTGGGAGGAAATACAACACTTGCAACGATGCGTCGTCCTTGATTTTGGCGATACGCCTAAAACCATTGCGCATCGTATCATACAAAATCAATAGACTCAAATTCACATTCTTTCTATTCCACCCCACTCTTTCACAAATCAGTCCAACCAAATCATTGTACAATAACTTATGATCAATCACAAAGGAATCGTCCGGCATGTTGTTAAAACTATTCACAATCCCATTCTTCACTACAAATTTGCTCGACCAATAGACATTAATGAAATATGGACCGTTAAACGCCATTTATATCTATTGATTACATGAATTACAACACATCATGAACAAATTATTAAAAAAAATGACACAAACAAGGCATTATCAAACAACTTATTATAACAATTACCACAAACAAGGCATAATCAACACTAAATTTACTAAACCCCCTACAAATTCAAAAGTTTAGGCCAAATTCAAGCATTTTACTAAATTGAACGTTCAATACCACGTATACAACAACAATCATCAACTACACCCAACATCAACCCTAAAACCTTATAAATAATCCTAGTTCTAAACTTTTACAAAGAAAATAACAACAATAATTCTAAATACATCAAAACATTAACTAACCTTCTTATGAAATGGTTTTAAGACATCCGTTGCGAAGAATCGTGAACAAAATCTTCAAATCGCTACTAAAATCACCTCCTCCTTCAAGAAATAGCCTACTTTACCAAAAATCTCGATACGTGAACAGTGTTTTCCGTCGCCCCATTATAACACAAAAAGGTCGGATTTCTAAAATCTGATTTTACTTATAAACTCGGATTTAGAAAATCCGATTTAACATTAAGGCCGGATTTCACGAATCCGACCTTCTGCCAGCTAATAACGTTCATTCAATGCCGATACCTACTGTTAGGTATGCTTAAATAAGGCCGGATTTTGTAAATCCGATTTTGTACTGTTCTTAATTTTCAAATCTCCCGCCTATATTTTTTTAATGAAAATAAACAAGGTCGGATTCCTAAAATCTGACCTTTGACTGTTCTTTATTTGACTTTCAATATATTTTTCTCACATATATTTTCCGGAAAAAAAAATTGTTATTTTATTTAATCGGATTCTTAAAATCCGAACTACTAATTTAATTAGTAGGTCGGATTTTGAGAATCCGTTCTCCACATTTTTCTTTACAAAAAAAAAATATAGATCTCTCTACTCCTTTTTCTAGTTGATTTTTTAACCAAAGCCCCCCCAACTGGAGTTTTGAATCAAATATTTCAATACAAAATGATAAAACAGTGGAGATTCATATTAATTATACTTCCCATAAGATTAAATACACACAATGTTTACAACAAGCAAATTAGAAACTGATTCAACAACACGATTCAAATTAACAAATGATTCAGCATTCTTCTCTAAAACCTTCGAAACAGAAAAGAATTCACTATGTCAGAATTGATTTATTTAAAGAATAACATTGACAAATTTTGGAATAGATTAAATAATGACTAGTGGATATATACCTAAAGATGAAGATCATGATGATATAGGATAGTGTTCCCATCATTATCCACATGGTAGACCACCGGATTATCAAATTTGTAGACATTTTCATTCAGGTAGAAGATATTTGTGCTCTCTCCCTGGGGAAGGTATTCATGAACGATACCCTCACCAACATATTGAACTGCAAAAAGAAAGAAAAAGGATTTGAAACAGGTCATGATCATTGAAAGAAATCAAAATAGCCAAAAGATAAAAAATAAGAGGGAAAGTATCCATACAGGTCACACGACCATCACAAGCAGGATTTTCTGAAGATCCTATGCAAATTGCTTTGCGCGGAAGCATCGCAGCTTCACCGATGGGCACCTTATGGAACCTTGGATAAAATATTGAATGAAGTTTTAAAACCGCCTCATATCTACCTCCTCCAAATACTTCATAGTTACGCATATCGCTAACATACTTAGTTGTGATATCAGGATGTCCTTCAACTTCTTTTCCAATAGCCCCAAATGGACCACAAGAGACGACATAAAAAGTTGTATCATAATATTCCTCCAACTCTTCCAAGTAGTTTGCAACTTTGGATGCGTGAAAAAAGTGCTGAAAAGAAGAAATAGATACTTCTAAAAACAAGAATCTTAAACAAATATGTACTCATTCACCAAAATAAAGATTTAAAAACAACAATTCAGAGATCAATTATAATCCAGAGATCAATTACAAAAACATAACATTCTTTCGTGTGCGTTGGCCTCCAAAAGAGAATGTACAGCCTCAATTTCTCCACTATCACCACAACCCACAACGTAGATCTGTTTACCAGGAATTTTAGAAATTTTCTGAATGTTGTCACTTTCTGAAAAATATAATGAACAAAGAAAAAAATATTAAAAAAACACAGAGGCCACATCTAGCAAGACAAACAAGGATATTCAAAGAGAAAACTTACTAACATATCTTCCTTCTTCCTTAATATACCCTCTCCTGGTATCACTGACAAGTAAGAACCCACCTTCAACCTCCACAACGTGCTTGTGAATTCCCAACAATTGGATCTTGAGACACATTCATGTAAATTTGACATAGGAGTTTGTCTTCACCATTAGTGCAGCCTGTAGCTCGAGTGGAATTTTTTTTTTTTTTTTTTGTTGAAAAAACTTCTATGCTAGTAAAGAAAAGGGTACGAAAAAGATGCTAAGGTGAGACCTTCATAGTCCATCTCTATAAAATGAAGTACATTAACAATTGTTATACTATAGACCATGGTCTATATAGTAACATAGACCATGGTGGTATCACACGCTCCACCCATGAGAAAAAATATGAGAAAGTCAAGTGATTTAATTTCAAAATCTTCCTCATTTATCCACACTCCTAAAAACGATTATCTATATTTTGAAGAATAAATTCAATTCTAGTTGAAATATCATCTCCCGCATCAATCTTGACACCACTATTCTTTTCACTCTCACCTCTGGCAACAAAAATTTGCCGAAGCCAGTAGTTCTTGAACATTCACAAACCCATGAAAGGTTTTGTACATTCTTGGTCTTTGATTATTACTGAAAAATGTTTCATGAATCATGTCAGTGAAGAATGTTTTGGCACGCATATTAACATTTTGATTTTCTTTAATTTTAATGCAAACATTTAGTCATTATGATTGAACCAAACCATTCAAACATTATTTCACCTTAAACCTGCACCAAGTTGTCTCTTTCAGTCACTCATTATTTCATAGATTCAACGGATTTTCCCTCACCAAATTATATAAGTAAACTAGTGAACATTGAATGAAGAACTTTTTGGATATGAGAGTTATTTTTAACTCTTTTGTGGGATGATAGTTGATTTTTGTTATTTTCATTAGTAAAATCACAATGAAAATTGTTCATGATTAATTTGTTATTTTATACGATCCGATTTGTAAACATTGTGCATTGGACCGGGAACTCTGATTTTTGTAACCAGAATTATTTAGATGGGCAAAAAAAAAGAAGAGTATTTTTTAGCGTCTTTCATATTCTTGGTTCATACAATTTTAAATCACTATTTATACATTAATATCATCTTGTTCATACAATTAGTTAGTTATGCCACACTCATATTGAAATTATGTTGATCTTTATTTATACTTGTGGTTGATTTTTGTCTCCGTCGGGATAGATTTGGTTGCTGCTTCAGTGCTATTCATCGGGAAGGCTGAAATTTTACTGGCTTAGTTGGGTATGTCATTTAACTTTCTTTTATTTATTTACTTTGGGTTGAGATTATTAATTCATTAATGTCCCACTTTTCTTTTCTTTCTTATGCTCATTGTTAATATAATAATGTGGCATTAATATTGATTCATTTAAGCATTGATTTTGATGTGTATTTTCTGATTTTTCATTAAATTAATGCATGCCCATTTAGATGTTTTGACCACATTAATGGGGAAATATTATAGCTTCTTTTGGTTCTGCATAGGTTTATGCAATAGTTGGATGTAAACCTATTATGTTCACAAAATATGCTTATCTAGTCCATACACTTTGTATTAAGAGTTCATACAATTTTTTTTTTTTTTGGAAGTAAAGCTCATACAATGTTTATATGACAATGATGACATATGAGAAATATTTGAGAGTTGAAATCATAATATGATAATTATGGAAGAAAAAAGTACATCTCTGAATGAAAGGTCATAGACATAAAATTATGTTCATACAACATTAATATTAATTATGTTAATAGTAATGTCAAAATTTTCATACATAAATAACTTAATGTTCATATTTATATACTTTAAGGTTCATACATATTATTTATACTTTAAGGTTCATACATTTCAAAGAGTAGTAAAACTTGAAAATCACATTTAATTAATTGGACTATGTTACACAGTTCATATATTTTATATTTTAAAGAGCAATAAACCTTGAAAAACACATTTAACTAATGTGGCTATGTTACAAAAAATTCCATAAATATTTAATCAAATTTAGCATCATCATGAAATCAACATAATGGAGAAGTGAAGATAAAGAATTGTAATGCGATTAAGATTTTTTATTTTTGTTTTGCTAAGTAACAGTATATGTCCATATATATGAATGTCAAAACTTTCACACAAAAATCATGTCAAGTTCATATTGGAATACTTTAAAGTTCATACATTTTAAGGAGTGGTAAAACTTGGAAAAAAAAAAACACATTTAACTAATTAGCCTTTACTACAAAATATTTTATTAAATAAAAAACTGCTAAATATTTATCAAATTTATGACATAAAATAAGGGATTGTAACAAGATAAGGAAAGATAGTTTTTAAGAATTTTTTTTTAAAAAAATAAAATTAGGATAATTAAATAGATGATTATCATAAAAAGAGATATAAAATTCTCCCTCACACACTTTGTAAGCAAGTATGATACACTTCCTCCTTAGGATCACAATACAATGTGAACCATGGTCCATGATATAATTTGTCGTATATTAATAATATCAACTATACTGTCTTCATTTCCACCGTTAGATCGATTTTCATTACATCATAATCGTTAGATGGGATTGTCAAATAAATATTGGCTTATCGTTATTGTCATCCATATTTGTACTGTTAGTTGGATTACATATTATTTCAACCGTCAGATTGGATTATCTAACAATCAAAATTTTTCGTCTATATTATTTGCATTTTAACTATTCAATGATTT